TCAAATGCAAACCATTTCGTCATCTAAAGGTCAAACTCACAACCGATTTCCAAGGCGAACTATTCGTTGGAACTGTCGTTTGAGCAGAGACGACAGTACAAATTCCGTTATTGAATTGCACTCTTCAAGAGAATTTTTCATCATCTTGTTAGTAGTCAGTCGAACAAATTCCATCAAAATTTTAACAAATTAACAAATTTCATTTGGAAACCGAAACGAAAACGATTGCGGAATGAAGAGAAACTACGAGAAGCCGTTTGAAATTCGTATATTTTATGTCCTAAATGTACGATTCATTCCTTCAAAGAATTGTTCAGTTCTCATACTGATTGTGAATATCATTCGATGTCCTGTCCTGTTTGCCTATAGTGTTGTCTTTATCGATTACGCGAATGGGGAATGGAATTTACTTTGCAAGGTGGTGCATTTACTTGGTTTGTGAATATCGATTAACTGATTGTAAAAGTGTTTTGTTTTGAGTGGATGATTCTGGGCAATGTTTTTTTTGGGAATTAGCATTAGTCATGATTGTGATCAGCTATAATCACCCATGATTCATGTCTACAACATTTTCAGAACTGAAATCGTTTTGAACCAATCAGATTCATAATCAAACAAATAATGAACAACGTCATACTTAGCCTGCGACCTGTCGGCTCCAGCAAAATCATTCATTCCCTTCTTTATCGCAGACTCGATCAGTGCATTGATCCATTCCAATACGCCGTGCAATTGGTCTCTCATGAAAACTGTTCAGTTGCTCGTCTCTGTTTATGCGCTTCGATGAGTAGCAGATATATTTTTTCTTCGTATTTAAAGCTGCTAGCGAGTATCGATTCAAAACCATATCCAAGCACTCACTGAGATACTGCTGCTATCGAATAGCAGGAAATTTAATCTCACTTATTAATCGCTGCTGTTGGTCACTACTCAAGCAGCTGACTGAGTAAAGGCTTTTGAGACGTCACTTTATTTTATTACTTTTTAAAGAATGATTAAGAGACTTTACAGCCAATATATTCCTATGTTATGAGTAATAAGAATAGCTGTGCGCATGAAGAACAATTGATTCGTCATGATTGTTACCATATAAAACTCTAAGAGTTTATAGCAGAGTTCCCATAAGAGGAAATACCTATTTTTTCGTAATTTGAGGGTGTCATGGGGTAATGGAGCGGTCGGGAAATTAGTTCTGGCCTTATGCGTGGTAATATTATTATAGAAATAGAGGGGAGGGGGAGGTCATGACAGCCTGCCAGACCGTCGAAGGGGGTAATGACTGTCAAAGAGCACCCGAGCGTGGAGACCATTAGTTTATAGAGATTAAGACATTTCCTTATATTTGCTTATGTGCGAAGGGAAGCTTTCTGATTCTGGATATTATTTATGAAGGGAAATCTCTAGTTGTATTTTCAGTCGAATGATTTACATTTATAATTTCAATTGATTTGCATATAGCCTTGCCTCATACCCTCATGTTACGCTCATATGAACTGAAACGATTTCAAGTATTCAACATACGGTTCGATAACATCGAACTATCGTAAATCATTCTAGCGATTAATGAGGCGGCATCCAGTATAGGATTTATTATTCTGTTTTTATGGATGCATAGTATTGTAAAACGATTATATTATGAGTACGTTGTGTCGCCTCCTCTGCTGATTTCTTTCCGCTACTCTTCCCAGCAAGACCCTCACCAGATCATCTAACAAGAAGTGAATTTTGTTCGACTTGTGCTTTCTCCGCTTGAATGCCTTATAATTTACTATGCTTTTAAGATGTTAACGATGAGATGGAGCAACTTAATTATATGTTATAGTCTGTTATTATTTCCAGTAATAATGATATCATCAGAATATTTTGATATCATACTCCCAAGGAATCAGTTCCTCATGCAATCCGTTTATAATCGTAGAGCTATCATTTATATTATCACGGGATAATGGTATATTGTAAATCACAATGAAATTTTACTACTCCGAAGCGGGTTTATTGTTGTGTTCATTTACTTTGTATATCAGTTGGTAAATGAAGCCATTCGAATATGACGGTGTTAAACTATGCATTGGCAGCGGTCGTTTCTATAGGACTCGAGTTGAATTATTAAAGCATGATGTTTACAATATGACAGCAACGTGTAAATAATTGAGAGGTTTGATTTTGTTTACGATACGCTGACATCAGACAAATATTGTTCTGTCAAAAGCGATATAAATAACCGAGAGATTTAAGTTTGTTTGTGATATTCGTGCTGACATCGGGCAAACATTATTCATTCGCTCATACTTATTCAATAGAGCCGTTGCTTTGATGTGGTCTCAACCACTATTGTTATAATAATAATAGTAATAGTAATGGTAATAACAATAATAACAATAGTAATAAGCGGAACCTAATAATAGTAATAATAATAATGACAGAAATAGTAATAAATTCAACTGTATTATGCTGAAAACGATAGCGATACCAGTATTGTGCGGGGACGGGAAAAAGTTGGGGATGGGATATATCAAGGACGAAATTTTGCAGTCAGAGAACCCGAAAATATCGTCGGCTCTAAAAAATTCGTGAAAGAAGTCCCCGAAATCCCCGATTCCCGCACCACATTGAGCAGTACTGACAATAACAAAACCACTCATTGTCTAGCTAACAGCAATTTTAGCTCATGGATTTTTTAATATTTTGTACTTAAAACTTAAGATGCTACATCCCCTTGGATATATATTCTGGCTTATTAAGTATGTGATCTGATTGCAACTGTAACATTGAGCTGAGAATTTCGTTCCTATTCAATGAATTGTCATCGCTGAACCGTATGTAAATCGCTCGGTATATTACAGTCCTTTCTAGTGTTCCTGAAATAGCGATTTCTTAATGAAACCACCCACCTCAACGCTGTGAAGAATCTTATACGTGTGTGGTGCTCTCATTTCCTTGCCAATTAAGTAGCGTCCAATAAAACAATCCTGTTGCTATAGAACAAAAACAATGCAAAGAATCACTGTATGCCTTATATGTGAGCATATTTCTTGTTGGAAGACCGTGGGCTAGGAACGGCTGAAGAGAATTGCATTCAATAGAGCTTCGATTTTCGACCACAAAAACAATCTTGGTTTCGAACATGAGTCACGTTCACATACGAAAGTACATTGTATATTTGTCATGATGTTAAGCAGTTGCTTCAATCGATAGCTTTTCAATGCAATTCGATTTCGAACGTATCTCAAAATTTCGGAATATGGTGTGCCATTTTTTTGGATAGCAAAGAGAACGAATGAAATTTCAGCTCGTTTGTCGATGTCGAGTTCAGGATCGGGCCATTCGACTCATCCACAGAGTGATAGTGCTCAGTCATCCTCACTAGCATCTGCATCTGCAACTCATCATTCGTCATCCAGAAAACGTAATTCACCAAATACAGGTGTTTATTCATTTACTTCAGTTCTTCTTCATTCATTCATTTTAAGTAATTCAGCGAACACAGCGAAGGTGTTTTGTTAATGTGTGATCATTGTTTCTATGAATTGTGTTCGTGTCAAATTATTGAAGAATTTTAATGATCGGTGCCTCGTTTTAACTGATTGTGAGGAAGTTAGGCAAAATTTTGACTATATTACAGGTGCGGCTCGTAAAGAAACTCAAGCAACACAGTCAGTCGCCGCAGTGGGATCAACCTCATCGAAACTTCGCAAACTCGCACACTCATCTGCAAATCAGGTGCGTCGTGTTCAACTCATTCTGTGCTTACCTTTAAAGGATGTATATGACTCTGAAGAGTATTTCGAGAAAATCTTTAAAATAAGAAAAAGACATGATTGCTGATGCCGATTATTCGAGTAATATCATTCAGTA